TTCCCTGACACTTTTGGGGTCAGCTGCACACGCCCTAGTTCCCCTGATGCGTGCGAGGCTGGGCTGGGGCTGTGTCGCCGGGTCTGTTATTCCCCTTTACAGCCTCTCTGCTGCAGGAGGGAGCTGGGAAAACGAACCGGGGGCCACCCAGCACCCATTTGGGTGGCAGGAAGGGGACGGCGGGATGAGATGATGCAAAGTGACCCCATCTCCAGGGTGACATCATCTTGTCAGCCTGACCACGGTGATCAGTCCCTGGGGATGTCTGGTCCTGGCAGGCCTGGGCAGGCAGGGTGCCCTGTGCCCTCAGGGTGCTGCAGTGGGGCAAGGGCAGGTGTCACCGGGCTGGGAGCCGGCTGCCGCCTTCCTGCCCCACGCTTGGGGCACGTACAGCTCCACCTACGCGCTGCAGCTCGCAGTCGTCTTTTGATGGCTGCCTTACATCTGCTTCCTCCCCCCCCTGCAGCGTGCCATCGCGTGCCAGCGGCTGGAAATCACCCCAGCCTCGGTGACGTCCCCTGGGTGCTTGGGGGGGCAGTGGTGGTGGCGGCTGGTGGTCATCTTGTGCTCCCCGCCTCCCGTCTGGCCCCTCGCACCAGGGGGAACGTGGGCAGGACGCAGGAGGAGAAAGAGGAAGGGTGCCAGTGGGGAAGGGGCTGGTGCCTGTCACGGTGACGCACGGTGGGGCCAGCCCTGCCTGTGACATTTGTGCAGACCCAGCTTGCGCAGAGGCCACACCGCAGAGATGTCCTGGCGGGTGCCTTCACCCAACTCTGCTGCTGCCGGCGTCACCCTTCTGCTCAGCTGTGCCTGGCTTGGCTCGGCCACCCAGTTGTCCCCAAGTAAGTGTCTTGGTGGGTCTGGGGGGATGATGGGGCAGGGCACGGAGGCCTCGCTGGGCCACCCTGATATCGTGTCCTGCGATACTTGAAGGGGATGGCTGGGTGTCACGGTGAATGCTCGGGCACCGCTCTGCTGCCTTCCCTGGGTGTCCAAGTTGAAAACCTAAGGGAAGACCCAAAACCCTGCCACCCCTTCCCCTATTGGCAGCGAAAATCAGCTTACTGCTCTCAGAACCTGAATTTCCCCTGTCCCCTGGATGTGGAGAGGTGGCAGAGGTTGTGGGAAACCTGTTGGATGCAACCAGGCACCTCTGGGGCCAGACATCCTGGGGACCACAGGGACGGAACCTTTGGAGCTG